GAGGAAATGAAAACCAGGGAATTAGGTCACTTGCCCAAGGACACAGAAGACAGACTTATTCAGAATGACTCTCAGAGAGATGATGTTCAGTGTCCCTGGCACCACTCTCTGTGGAAGACATCAGCAACAAAATGTGCATCACATTTTCCATGGCCCTAATGTTTGCTCCCTTTAGAAACTCATCAGTGAGTTATCAGGAATGGCCTCGTACTTGGATCGCTGGATCTATCATCCTCACCACATTTTCACCATCCACCTTTCACCTTTCCTCTGAAAGCCCAAGAAGCATCTCTGCACCTGTTGGCAACTGTGAGATCCTCATGCCTCCTGTTGCCAGCATTCTGAAGCTCCCTTCTACCTCATCCGAACCTTTTCCCCTCGACCAGCTTAGAGAACCTGTTGTAAGCTGCCCTTCTTATGAGGCCAGACCATGTTCCCAGACCTTCTTGGGCTCACTGAGGCCTCTGGGAAGAGGCCATGAGCACAGGAAGCCAAGACCATAGTCTCAGGCTCTGCCCACTCCTCTGTGCCAGTATGTGTATAAAACAGAAATGCTGTCTCTAAAGGGACCTACTTGGCAGGGCAGCAGGCACTGTCCGAATGGTCTGCAGGTGGGAGCCCAACAGGAAGCAAAAGCCTTCTGCATACATATTCTCCCCACAGGCTCTGTGCATGGTTGGGCCGCAGGCCTAGAGGCAGAGACCTGTGTGAGCAAAGGGGCCCCAGAATTCTCCATATTCTTCTCCCCCAGCCCAAGCCTCCTCTGGCCCCTGATCCTGCCCTTGTGACCCTTCTATGACCCAGAGAAACTCACCAGCAGCCAGGAGCGATTGGTGGAGGCTGCCAGGGACAGGCCCAGGGACATGTTCACGGCCTCTGGTGGTGCTGAGGGCAGATACACATGATCATACTCATGGGCACACCCTCATTTGGGGGGAGAATCAGGACTAGAGGCCAAGGAGAGACATTCTTGTACAGGAGGATTGAGGGCCCCAATTCCCAGGTGGAGTCACTCACTGTGCAGTGATATAGGTTGACATAGGCCAGTGGCAGCTGCACAGTCATACAACCGTCCTGTCCGGTTGACCGCCACTACCTCCAAGGGGGCTCCCACCACGAGTCTGGAGGCACAAGCATGACATATAGTTGTATGAGGGGTAAGAACACAGGGCGCTTCAGGTGAGGAAGTATCACCATGTAACAAGGAAGTGAGAGTTTGAGAGGGAAGCTCTTGGCATTTGCCACTCATGAGGCTATTCAAAAAGGAGAGCTTCAGTTTAACCCACATGTGCTGAAGGACTATGCTGGACTTTTTGTTTGTGTATGTGTGAGGATACATAAATAAATTTGTATTTATATATACAAATGGTTTGAGTGCTGTTTTTTAACATTAACCAAAAATAAATATATTCAAAAGAAAAACATTTTCCAGCCATGAGTAAGTGCATCTTGTTTCTGGGGTACCATCATTCTGAGCCACCCAAGAAATAGATCACCTCAAGTTACATGGAAAAAAAAGAATTTTTTATATTAAATATAACTTATTGTCAAATTGGTTTCCATACAACACCCAGTGCTCAATCCAACAGGTACCCTGGAAAAAAATTAAAGGTTATTTATTTTTGAAAGAGAGAGAGCATGAATGAGCTGGGGAGGGGCAGAGGGGAGGGGAGATAGAATCCCAAGCATGTTCCGTGCTGTCAGCACAAAGCTGAATGTGTGGCTCTAAGCCACAAACTGTGAGATCATCTCCTTAGCCAAACTCGGATGCTTAGCTGACTGAGTCAGCCAGGCACCCCTACATGGAAAAATTTTAAGCCATAAGGTATCAAAACAAAAAGATTATTCTGTAATTAATTGGATAATTTAAATATAACATAAGCAATTTGAGTTGGACAACTTAAAGCAAAAGCATCAGACTCCATATCAATATCTACAGTCATATAAGTGCAAAAATTTATTTATAAAACCTTTTGAGAGGAGAGAATTTTTTAATTTTAAAAAAATGTTATCTCTGCCAACAATCTCTCCACTCAGATGAGAAAACTAGACAAATATTTGTGTGTTTTTAACTAATTACCCAGGCAAACCACATTAGGTTAACATTTAAATCTTCCTTCTAGAAAGCTATTCCTTTATGGAAAGCTGAGATCCTTGTGGGTCTAACACTTGCTGATGAAAACCTAAATAGATGGTTAGAGATGTAGCAGTTTGGGACCTGCTGGCATAAATGGATGAGCAAACTTTTCATCTACATGTTTTCCTTTACCCTATCTATTCCTGATTCATAGGCTTGGTCTTTTCAGTGTTTGGGTTGTGTTTCAACAGACAACAGGAAAAACAATAGCTTTGTAGCAATCAGCATGTCATCCAGTCTATATATTTACTTTTTTGTAAATACTGGTGAACAGCAGTCAATCAATAGTTTATAGATGTGTGTGTGTGTGTGTGTGTGTGTGTGTGTGTGTGTGTAACTGATGGTGATGGAAGTGGGACAGTGGCTATCTTTGAATTTGTTGGATTTTGAGTGATCAGAAAAGGCCTAAGGGAATCCAGCAGAGTGGACCTGAGGATGTTCTGTATCTGGATCCAGGCGGCAGCTACCTGGGTATACACATATGAAAAATTTATTGAGTTGGACCTTCCAAGATTGGGCACTTCAGTTTTTGCCCTGTATATTTCAAAATAAACAAACAAACCAAAAAAAAAAAAACACCCATAACTCTGACATCTGGCATTTTCTTCCATGCCCCAGCCTGCCAGCTGGGTGAGGAAGGGGGATGGATGTGCTTTTAGAACTCAGTGACCTCAATATGCTACTTCTTGGCCAATTAAATCTTCTTGTATTCTCAGGCTCATTGCCAACTTGACCTCCTCTGTGAAGCCTTCCTAGAATTCCCTCCTGGGTTTGATCTCTTCCTTCTTTTTTTTTTTTTTTTTAATTTTTTTTTCAACGTTTATTTATTTTTGGGACAGAGAGAGAGACAGAGCATGAACGGGGGAGGAGCAGAGAGAGAGGGAGACACAGAATCGGAAACAGGCTCCAGGCTCTGAGCCATCAGCCCAGAGCCTGATGCGGGGCTCGAACTCAGGGACCGCGAGATCGTGACCTGGCTGAAGTCGGACGCTTAACCGACTGCGCCACCCAGGCGCCCCAGATCTCTTCCTTCTTATGCCTCCAGATTTCCGTTATACTTGCATCACATTGGGACTTTAACAACTTGGGTCCCTGCTGCTGGGACCTGAGAATGTGAGTTTCTGGAAGCAGGGTGAGGTACATAATTGACAGTCCCAGTGTGAAATAAAAATGTGGGCCTTTTGTTCTGGGAGAAAAAAAGTTTTTTTCCCCTTTTTTTTTTCCTCCCCATGGACCTCCTCTTTACCTGTCCTGTCTTTACCTGTTTGCTATTTAGTGTTGAATTCCCCAAGGCACAGGGATTTTCCCAGGGCCAGTGCAAACCCCACAGACTGGGCAAACTGTGCACAGCCAACCTTGACCTTGCCTAACTCATACCAGGGGCTGAGGGCAGCAGGGGTCACTGGATAGGTGTGGGGAAGCAGGAAGCTAAGAACCACTCCACAGAAGGCTAGACTGCATGTGAGCCAAAGCTCCAAGCCTCCAGCACATCTCCACTTCCCCATCAATCTTAATGACCACACACAAATGCTAAGATCAATTCTTAATAATTTCAAGAAGAAGACTGCAAAACATTATTACAAGTGCAAGGGTAACTGTACTGGTCACTTACACTGGTCACATGCCACAAAGCGAGACCTGTCTGGAGGAGATTCAAGATCTGCCTCCTGAAAGAGTGTCTTGTTCAGAGTTTGTGGCCCTTCCTGGGACCGTGAATAGTTGGTAGTAGTGGTGTCAGTGGTGTCAGACTTTGCCCATGCTGCCCTTCCTCCAGATACCTCCTAACCCATGTTCATCCATTTGCCTGAAGGCCTGAAGGCTGAAGGGGTGAGGGTGGGGAGAGTGGGCAGGGCTTACCTCGATCTGCCAAACTGGGCCACACTCTGTCCAAAGCTAACGCCATCCTCTTGAAAGACCATGGGCTCCTCCACATCCAAGTTGAACCCATAATAAGAAGCAATGACTGAGGAATATGGAGAGGGAAGTGAGGGTGGGAGGAACAGTCAGAGAAGCCTCATCTCCTCTGGATACCTGACTTTTGGGATCTTGATGCCCACCCCAGTCCAGCTCATCTTCCCAGGAGAAGGGTGTTGTTTTTGTTTCCTGATTTGCCATCTGTGTGGCTCCTGTCTCTCCCTTCCTCAACAATAATCAAACCACAAAACAAAGGGCAACAATCCAGAGAAATGCCCCTCAAGGATATTTCAAAGGACATGTACAACCTGAAATTGAGCCTGTCACCTCATGGTATGTTAGCTCAAGAATGTCCCTTATGATAATACAATTCATTTCCTAAACTGAGACCTTCTGAGAATGAAAGGGACACCATTAACAATTACATCATGGTCCACCCTAAGGTCCAGATGGGGAAACAGACTTAGTATTTTTTGATTAATTATTTATTCTTATGTGTTTCCCATGACCCCCTTCCTTGGTGCTAGGCTCTAAGACAACAAGGACTGCAGCCATCTTGTGTTGGTGCCTGAGGCAGTGCCTGGCCCTTAACAGGTGACTAATTACTATTTGTTGGCTGACCCAGAACTGCACAGGAAGTCCCTGGTATAGCCAGGATTCCAACCCACTCTCCTGATCCTTCACATTCTCCTCTCTGGTGACTAAGCTCAAAAACCTCAGTGGAAGGCCCCCTACATTTCAAGGGCTTTTCCCACAACTCTCACTCCTAGACAGCAGGTTTCTTCTCCATTTCTACTAGAATTCCCAGCTGTCTCTGGATTGAGGAGTCAACTCCAACCCCAAAGTAGGGAAGCTCTAAGAATATAAAGCATTAGGCCAGGATGTGACAGGCAAGGTCCAAACAACTGAATCTTGGGGTTCTGGGAAAAGGCCAGATGTTGAAGGTGCCATAATCCTACCATGGCCACATGCAAGGGAGCTTCACATCCCAAATCTCCTCAAAGGATGATTCTATTTCTGAGTCTGAAAAAAGAACCTATGACCAGACAAGTAGGATGATGCCAAAAGTCTCAGACTGAAATGTCTCAGAGGCCAAGAGGGTGACATCAGTGAGTGAAGTGGGTGGTGTGAGTACCAGGGAATTATGGGCACTTAGAGCATGTGGCCCTTTTAAAGGAGGTAAGCATTACCAGGGTCTAGAATCCAGAGCTCCAGACCTTCCCATTTCTCAAGAGAAGCTGAAAGTCTGGATTTTTGTGTGGAATCTGATTTTTGACTGACACACAAATGATTTCAAATGACACAGAAATGTGATCCTGTTACAGGTTCAATTTCTGGACTATTCTCTTGGCAGTCGTGGAACAACCTACCTGAAATCAAAACCAAGGACCAAGGATGAGATATCCAAAGTTTCCCCTCCCTAGTGACTTCTATGGCCTTCCCCGCTGGGGCTCTGAGGCTGACTCCTGTCAACCATACCACCACACACACACACACACACACACACACACACACACCAGGGGCCTGACAGAAGGTGGGGGGGAAGCCTTGGGGAATGTGGAGAAGTAGCTTATTCTCCACCCAAACTTAGCCTATGAGTCCATCTTATCTCATCTTTGCTCAGGTTATGACCCTCCCCTGATTCCAGGCCATTCCTCTTTCCACACCAGAATCTAGACACTAAGGCACTCCCTTGCCTCACCTCCTCCACAGAGCTATATGAGTTGACCACCAGCCCCAGAATGCCCTATCAGACAGAGACGCCCCCGCCCAGACCTCTTCCAGCTCTGAGGCCCCACTTACCACCTAAGAGGAGCATAATTCCAAAAGCCATCATTGAGCAGCGTATTGAAGGAGGCGTGAATTGCTGAGCAGTACAGCACTGAAGGATACTTAGCGTCCTCGGGGAGAATTAAAATAATGACTCAGGCCTTCAAGTGACAGAAGGAGGGGCACAGTGAGGAAGTCTTTGGTTAATCATAGAACAGAGGCAGGGACAGGAGGCCAAAGACACTCTTGGGGAAAATCGCCCATACTCTCCCACCGCCACCACCTTTAGAGATCTGGCTTCCTTGTCCAGGGCTTGGCTTTCCCAGAAGTCCACCCTCCCCCATCCCTTGAGGCCCAGTTGATACCCAGGGAACTCTGGGACCTCACTGGGACCCAGAAACCAAAGTGCATATGACTGAAAGGGGGTGAAACAGATGGCTACAGAGCCCCCACTTCACGGATGTGAGCCTGGAGAACGGCAGACCTCCACCTCAGATAGCAGTGTTGGGGGTGTAGCAGGGGTTACAGTGTTGTTTATAAAACCAGACTCCATCGAGAGGAAAATGGATAATCAAACTGGTAAATGGGCTTAGTAGCCATAAAAGGGCTTACCAGTCAACAATAAAAGAGAAGAGACTACAGATAGGTGTAAGAACATGGATGAATCTCAACTTTGTCATAAGTAATAGAAATCAGACACCAGACTGCAAAATGTTTGATTCGTTTCACATGAAGAGGCAAAACTAATCTGTTAAGGATAGATATAGAACAGTGATTGCCTCAGTTTTGAGGTGGAGAGGGAACTTCTGACATTTGTTAAATTTAACATTCAACTCTTGATATTTTAATATTTAATACTTTAATATTTTAACATTTTTAAATGTGGAAAAGATAGATAAATGTGTGGTTGTTATTTATTCTCTGTAATATTCTTTGCGTTTTGAATATTCTATAATTAAGCATATATGAATGTTTCTCAAAAACATGAAAAAAAGGTACTGAGTATAGTACCAGGAATAGAATTAGAAGGCTAAAATATATGACAAAAATCCCTAACTATGGCATGTTATTTTAAGTATATATGTGACAGTTAAAATACTAAAAATGTAGTTTACATGTCAAGTATAGACAATATAAAATCATCTCTAAACAAAAATTTTAGGTCAATTTACTTGCGTTGATATTTAATATACAGAAAAAAATTAAGTAGATGGTGGGAAGGGCACTGATGCAGGGAATGGGGCCAAAGATTAAGTATGATTGCTGGCTTTGAGGCTGATTTACCTACTTCCTGCAAAGAATGTCAAGGACAATTGAGCAACAAGCTTCTCCCTCTGTGCTAAGGTGTCTGTAGCAAACGGCACCCTCTCATCAGTTCTGTGAACCTGTGAACTTCTCTCTGTGTTTGGAACCACAAAATAATTTTTGGTGGTCTTCCTTAACACAAAATGTAAAGATATCTTCGTGTCCTCCATCTATAGCACACCTCATCTTTTAGACACAATCTCAAATGAATTAACATTTCATACATAATCTTTAATTTGGGACTTCCTTTCCCAAGCAAAGCTTGAGGGTAACTAATATTTCGCTGATTTCAGCAACTGTAAAGATTTCCAATTTTGCTCAATTTTATTATCACTTGTCTCAGCAAAAGTTTTTCTGTTTAGTTTCCACTCATTAAAAAACAACAACAACAATAAGGGCATATTGCAAAAAGATATTCAAATACTTATGAAAACCACACAGTGCCACAAAAGTATCTTTCTTCTAGGCCTGTTAATGAGTTTTCCTTCAACAGTTGCTGTAGGTTGATGTTCCTCAACTCTAGTATCTTCAGGGCACTTAATAGGGGTTCCACACTTAGCAGAACCACCAACTCTTTGTAAAACTTTTAAAGCTTTTGATATGATAATTTATAATAAACATATATTCGGTCTTTGTCTTCTCTGGCACAGAGCTCCTAAAATTCTTAGAATTCCTAAGTTATAAGAACAATATAAGTGTCTCATGTTACAAGGGGACCTTGGGGAAGCAACTAAAAATGGGAACTGGTCACAGTGCCTGAGTGGCTCAGTTAGTTGAATGTCTAACATCAGCTCCGTCATGATCTCATGGTTCATGAGTTCAAACCCCATATTGGGCTCACTGCTGTCAACGCAGAGCCCGCTTCAGATCCTCTGTACCCCTCTATCTCTGCCCCTGCCCCACTCAGTCTCTCTCTCTCAAAAATTAATAGATATTTATTTTAAAAATGTGACTGGCTGCCACTAGAGCCAATGATGGGATTAGAGGTTTGGAAGTTTCAGTCCCACCTCCCCAATTTCCTGGGAGGAGAGAGGGGCTGGAGATTGGCTTCAATCATCAATGGGCAATGAATGATTTAATTAATCACACCTATGTAATGAAGCCTTTATAAAAATCCAAAAGCACGGAATTCTGGTAGGCAAAAACATGGAGATTTGGGGAGAATGCCATGATTGGAGAGGACATGAAGGCTTCATGCCCTTTCCCTATACCTTGCCCTAGGCATCTCTTCCATCTCACTGTATGTGAGTTATATCCTTTTATAATAAATCTGTAATTTGGTAAGTAAAATGTTTTGCCGAGTTCTGTGAGCTACTCTAGGAAATTAAACCCAAGAAAGGGGTCGTTGGGACCTCCAATGTATCAGAAATGGGTGAGAAGCACATGTGTTGTATATTGGTTTAATATGATTTCAAATCCCCTTGTTTATAACCAAGACAAAATAAAATTGCTTTTAGAAGTGAAGTTGTTTTCATCATCAAAGGCAAGGGAAACAAAAGCAAACATGAACTATTGATACTTCAAGATAAAAAGCTTCTGCACAACATGGTAACATTCAACCAAACTAAAAGGCAGCCTAGAGAATGGGAGAAGATATTGGCAAATGACATATCTAATTAAGGGTTAGCACCCAAAATCTATAAAGAACTTATCAAACTCAAAACCCAAAAAACAACCCAGTTAAGAAATGGGCAGAAGACATGAATGGACACTTCCAAAGAAGACATCTAGATGGTAAATGGACACATGAAAAGATGCTCAACATCATGTATCATCAGGGAAATATAAATCAAAACCATGATGAGATAACACCTCACACCTGTCTGAATGGCTGAAATTAAACACAAGAAAACAACAGGTGTTGGGAGAAAGGGGAAACTTCTTTGCACAGTTGGTGGGAAAGCAAACTGGTGCAGCCACTCTGGAAAACACTATGGAGGTTACTCAAAAAACTAAAAATAGAGGGGCGCCTGAGTGGCGCAGCTGGTTACACATGTGGCTCTTGATCTCGGTTCAGGTCATGATCTCACAGTGTGTGGGTTCAAGTCCCACATCAGGCTCTGTGCTAATGGCAGAGCCTGCTTGGGATTCCGTCTCTCCTTCTCTCTGCCTTTCCCCAGCTTGTTCTCTCGTTCTCTCTCTCTCTCTCTCAAAATAAATAAGTAAACTTAAAAAAAAAACCTAAAAATAGAACCCGGCAATCACACTATAAGGTATTTACCTAAAGGATAAAAAAAATACACATTCAAAGGGGTACGTGCACCTCAATGTTTATAGCAGCATTTTCAAATATAGCCAAACTATGGAGAGAGCCCAAATGCCCATTACCTGATGAATGGATAAAGAAGATATATATCTATCCATATACATACAATGGAATATTACTCACCCATCAAAAAGAATGAAATCTTGCCATCTCCAATGACATGGATAGAATTGGAATGTATTATGCTAAGCAAAATAAGTCAGAGAAAGAAAATACAATATGACTTCACTTATATGTGGAATTTAAGAAACAAAACAGATGAACATATGGAAAGGGGGAAGAAAGTGGAGAGAGGAGAAAAAAACCATGAGAGATTCTTAACAACAGAGAACAAACTGAGGGTTGACAGAGGGAGGTGAGTGAGAGATGGGCTAGATGGGTGATTGGTATTACAGGGGGCACTTGTTGTGATGAGCACTGGGTATTGAATGTAAGTGATAAATCACTGAATTCTACTCCTGAAACCAATATTGCATTATATGCTGGCTAACTAAAATTTAAATTAAAAAAGAAATAAAGTTGTTTTAATATAAAAATAAAGGAGTTGTGTCAGTATATCATTATCTCATCTCTTCTCACTGATATGAACTTAGTAGCTAAGCTGCTGAAGGGCCCTGCTGAAGAAGGATTACCAGTCAAAATATGTGAAGAAGCTTCCTGGGCTGTTCATTTTAGCCATTCTGACCGGTGTGAGGTGGTATGGGAACACTTTTGCACTGTTGGTGGGAATGCAAACTGGTGCAGCCACTCTGGAAAACAGTGTGGAAGTTACTCAAAAAATTAAAAATAGAATTGTCCTATGACCCAGCAATAGCACTGCTAGGAATTTACCCAAGGGATATAGGAGTGCTGATGCATAGGGGCACATGTACCCCAATGTTTATAGCAGTGCTTTCAACAAGCACCTAAATGTCCATCAACTGATCAATGGGTAAAGAAGATGTGCTTTATATATACAATGGAATACTACTTGTCAATGAGAAAGAATGAAATCATGCCATTTGCAACAATGTGGATGGAACTGGAGGGTGTTATGCTAAGTGAAATAAATCAGTCAGAGAAAGACAGATACCATATGTTTTCACTCACATGTGGATCTTGAGAAACTTAACAGTAGACCATGGGGGGGAAGGGAAGGGGAAAAAAGAGTAACAGAGAGAGGGAGGCAAACCAAAGAGAATCTTAAATACAGAGAACAAACTAAGGGTTGATGGGGTGGGGGAGAAGGGAAAGTGGGTGATGGTCATTGAGGAGGGCATTTGTTGGAATGAGCACTGGGTGTTGTGTGGAAGCCAATTTGACAACAAATTATATTTAAAAATATATATGAAGAAGCAACTCTCAGAAGGGGACATTTAAACTACAAATACCAAGAGTTTGTGAGGGATATCCATGAGTATTTAGTCTGAGCAAGGCTACAATTTACTGATCTGAATAGCCTTCTGAAGACCTTGGGGAAATTAACTCCTGCCATGGTAAAACTAGCAATGGTGAAAGCCATGCATCAACTCTGTGAAGGAGATCATCTTGCCCACCTACACCTTGGCATCTTTTCCTATCAACATGCTGTAGTAACCAGGGAATTTTACTTTCGCACTGGCAGCTGGACATCAGTTCTTGGTTGGCTAAACTGTCTCTGCTGATTATCAACTCTATAAAGACACACCACAACTAAACTTGGATTCTATTCCTTTCATCTCCCCTCACCTGGAAC